GGGGCGGCCAAGGAGCGGGGCGCTCTGGGGAGGAGGGAGCTGCGGCCGCCGCCGACACAGCTCGGTGTTTTCCCTTGATGAGAGCGGGGAGCAGAGCCTGCCCGGGCTGGGGGCGATGCCTCACCCTCTCTGGGGGGTAAAAAGTTGTCGGCCAAGTGTCGGGAAGGGCGGGCTCCTGAGCCCTTCGCCTCAAATAAACCAGCACTCCCTTCTTCGCCTCAGACTTTTCTCTCGTTTTACACTGTCGCCGGCAGCGTCCCTGTCTGGCCCCTGCGGTTCGGTCACTTTAGTGACGAGAAAGCCGGAGCACCAGCACCGGGCGTGCTGGCGGGAGCAGGGTGGAGCAGGGCGGCCGGCGATCGCCAGCTCCAGGCCGTGGAGGCGCTTCCTCATCGATCCCCGCACAAAATTGGCTCGGTTAGCTCAGGCTGTGTGTGTAGAGGGGAAGTTGGGCTGTTGGTTGGTTGGGGCGGGGAGTGTTTCACAGTTTGTTGTAGCGATGGCGTTAGGTGTCAAGGTAGTGACCTCTAATTGGGAGCTCACAACTTAGGTTCTTAACTGCTTTTTGCAGGAGGCCTAATTACATTTTAACAAGGGTGAGGAATGTGCATGCAATTAAATCCACTACTGTGTTGTGCTTTTTCAGTCAGAGTATTGCTCGTATCTGTCCTTTTGTGGCAGTTGGTCACTTCCTTATTTGTGCCAATACAAATTAAGTTAAAGCTACTTTTTCATTTGTCTGATACATCATTGATGAACCGGGATGTTTTTAAAGCCTTTCTGACTTCAGCTGTCTATGCCTGTAAGCCACACTTACAGTTACAAACCCTTAGTTCATAACTGTGCTTATAGAGTAAGCAGAACAGACAGAAGTTGAATCATTACAGTAAGTAACTTGTCAAACACTTGAGTGAAAAACATATGATAGTATATTCTCAGCACTGCTTAAATTACCTTAATATATAAATTGCCGTGACCGCAGAGGTTAGCTATGTCATCTACTTGAAGTTCAAGAATTACACTTTCAGGTCTCTAGTTCTTGTGTGTTTGAAATACACAGTTTGATCAATGTATTTTATTAGAGAAGTGCTCTTCTTCTTTAGATAACACAGTGTTTAAAAACGAAAAGAAAAAGGAGGAAGGTCTCCCTTTGTTTTTAATGCAGTTAGTCTTCTTCGGAGTGGGGAAGTACATCATTGTTAATAATAGACCTTTGCAGTAAAACTGGATCTCACAAGTCAGACTGCAGAGTTTAAAACTGTTCTGAAGTCGCTTTGGCAAGCTGAACTCTTACAGATACAAATGAGAAATCTAAGCTAAAGTTGGTGCAATTGGTAGCTTTCAGAATTATTTTTAGAATACTGTTCGGGTTTGTTTGTCAGTAGTCATAACTGAAAGTTTACCTCCAGTCAGTTTCCAGTGAAAGCTGTGATATTTGCAGGCTTTTGCTATAGAAGTGAAGCAGCTGATATGTTTTTTTAGCAGGTTGTGTCCTACAGTGTAAAAGGCTCTATTTTCAAGAGAACAATAGAGAGCTGGTGGTCACAGTCTCTTCCGTCAGCAGCTGTTCTTTGCAAATATGTTGGGTTTCACCAAAATATTTCCATTAGTTTGAGAAGCATATATAAACAACACAGGCAGTGTGAGCAGGTCTGGTAACTTTCCCACACTGGCCTTTATCTCCTTTTGTTGCTCTGGTAAGTTTCTTGCTCAGTTGTGTGATGAGACAGATCAGGGAAGTCACCCAGGTTGAAAATAAGATATAATAATTATTTTTGTTTAGGATCAACTCTGTGATATAGTTCATTACGGAGTCATGTAAGTGTACTAGCATAGCTGGGAGGGAGGAAGAAAGGAGAACATAGCGGGAAAGAAACAAGCAGCAATGTGGGATAAAAGCAAGGGGGGGGGGAAGTGGCAGTGGGGCTGTTCCTTAAAAAGTTGCAAAATACTTTTATAAGACAAGATTATTCAGTGGTAATTTGATTTGTGTATGCGTTATACTTTGCCAGGGATGGAGGAGTTCTAGTTTTGTTGGAAAAATAAAATTCCCAAAGCGGACTGTCATTTTTTGAGAGAGAAACTGCTTAATTCTTAAGTATTTGCTGGTCATAATTGTAGGAGTTGCTCCTCTTAGTGCAGCTGAGTCTTTTTATAATATGTACTGTATATGCAGTTTGAAGGAGAGGGAAGTCTAATTGTATCTCCAAAAAGCATTTGGCTGCACTTGCTCTTGGAAGAGAAAGTGAAACTAAGCAAAACCCATTTGGTAACAAAATGTATTGGGCCCAGTGAATGAAGCAACTGAATCATCTGAGCTGCGGTCAGGCTAACAGAGCTGAGAAAGAGCATTCACTGG